GTGGATGACCTCTACCTGATTCAAGAAGTCTATAGGCCAACGAGAGGCAAAGTGCTGCTCGACCTGGTACTGGCTACTGGGGATGACCTAGTCGGCGACCTAGTGATCGATGGGAAGCTGGGTGACAGCGACCACGAGCTGATCACCTTCACCATCCGCCAAAAAGCTGGCAAGTCGGTCAGCAACGCGCAAGTCCTTGACTTCAGGAAAGCCGACTTTGACAAGCTCAGGAGGCTTGTCAGTGAGGCCCTAAGGGACCGTGACCACAGGGAGAGGGGAGTTCAAGAGGAGTGGTTGCTCCTCAAGGGAGCGATCCTCAATGCACAAACTCAGTCTATTCCATCTCGGAGGAAAGGCAGCAAGAGGGCACAGCAGCCCCCCCTGGCTCTCCAGGGACCTAGCAGACCTCCTCCAGATGGGGCAACCGACAACTGATGCCCAGGAAAAAGCCAACCTATTAAATAGGTACTTTGCGTCGGTCTTTCATTAGCCCCATGGGACAGCCATGCCTGCTACAGGGCCGGGAAGTCCGGGTGAGGGTGATCCCCTGCCCTCCATTAATGCTGACTTTGTGAAGGAACATCTTGAGAAGCTGGATACCTTCATCCAAAACTGGATGTGCTTGTTCCTAGTCATGTTTGGAGAGGGCTGTTGGCCTGGAGGGAAAACATGGAGGTTACTGGTTCTGTCTTTCTGTAGACGGCGGGATGGCGGTTGGAGGTACTAGGCACATGGCAGCCTGTGAAAACTGGTGCAGGGGAAAAAGAGGAACAGAGTCCCCCAGCTCTACGTGCCCAGAGCAGGGACTCTAGGGCAGCACATAACAGCAGCTGCATTTCAAGCTTCAGATCTTGTTCGGAGGAGTCAGAGCAGAGAGAGTTTTTGTTGCACTTCCCCATAAGACTGTATCACTGTGCAAGCACTCCCAGTCCATACTGAACAGTAATAATCAGCGTCATCCTCGGGCTGGGCCCCAGTGATGGTCAAGGACATGGTGCTCCCTGATCGGGACCCAGAGAAGCGCGCTGGCACACCAGAGGGCCGGGTACTGGTGCTGTACATCAGCAGCTGAGGAGCCTGGCCCGGTTTCTGTTGCACCCACTGTGGGTAGTTGCCATCACCAACTGCTCCACTGCTCAGGCTGCACGTGATGGTCACAGTCCCTCCGGGAGACACCTGCTCTGACGGCTTCAGCGACTGCAGCTGCTGGGAACTGGAACCTGCCAAGGTAGAAATAAGGCCGTGAGGACCTCAGCAGAGCACTGGCTGCAACAGCTGTGCTCAATGCCCTGGGCAGGGGGAACAGCGCTGCAGCATCTCACCAGTCACCTCTTGTACCTTCTGGCAGAAAAACCTCCCTTACCCACGTAGCCTGTGAGCAATGCGAGGAACAGGGCCCAGGCCATGGCGCAAATCCAGGCCTGTTCACCTTCCGAGGTAAATGGGTCCCTGCCTGGGCCGCTCTGTGTCTCTCTTAAACCCTCTGAGCTGAGAACAGCTAATTCATGCAAATCTGCTCCTCACTCCCGAGTTACTGGCCCTTCCCCAGTTTGCCTCTTTCTATCATAAAAGGCAGAGCCACCTGCCAGGGGAGCCCTGCCGGGGCTCAGAGCACGCAGCGGGCAGAGTCCTGCACTTAGCTCTTTTCTGGTACGAGGTGTCATTGCTTTGGTCGCCCTCGGGGAATTTTGAAAAATACCCAGCGTGCATCGACCTTTGCAGGATACGTCCCCTTGCTCAGACAGAGCACGTTACATTCAGAGCAGGGAAAAGCTCTGTTTTTCTTTCATCCTCTCTCACACTGGGCTCACTGAGGGGATACATGTGCTGCGTTTCCCAGCTCATATCCAGCAGGACTCAGGCAGACTAAAGGGGGATTCAGTGCAAGCTGCTCGCGCAGTAGTCTGTGCCCAAAGGGAGAGGGAAGCGGAGCCGCAGACCCCTGCCCAGGTTTCCCACTCGCTCTGGGACCTGCAACATCTCTGCTCTTCCAGTCACAGGTCGAATACTCAGTCAGTGCCAATCCTGCAGCATGTTTGTGCCACGCAGACCCGGGACCACGAGGGAACCGCCACAGCCATTTCCTTTCCAGTCTGCATGAGGGTTTCTCCGCAGTTCCTGTGAGCTAACAGGAACCTGCCACATCATCCCCATGGTGATTAGTATATCAATGCCAGTCACCTAAGCTGGGGCTCCATTGTACAAGGTGCTGTGGAAAACCATGTCAGCAGTGCCCTGAGTACCTGAGGGTCCCACCCAGGGCACGAGCACACCCCAGGTCTGTCAATGGCAGCAGCGCAGCCTTGAGCATGAAGCACAGGTTTGGGGGCTGAGGGCTCTGGAGCCCGATTACCCCATCAGTTATGGGGACAAGCTGTGAAAAGGGTAACAGAGCCCACCTGGCTCCCAGGGGTGTCGTAAGAAATACTCAGTGACTCTGCACCAAGCCTCCACGATGCACCGGGCAGGAGAAACCCGAGGCACTAATGGATGGGAGCAGCCAGGCGCTCTGGGGCTCACAGCGCTCTGTGGCTGGTGCCACGTCTGAGCCACCAGGGAACGTGTCCTAGTCTGTGCTGAATCCGGTCTGGGTGGCTCCTCTCAGTGCTGACTCCAGTGCTCAGGCTCCTGGTGAATCTTTCCTCCGAGCTGTCCTGCTCTTGCCCCACCAAGGAGTCCTGAGCAAGGAGTCCCATGGGCAGAACCAGGGGCTGAAATCTGCCCCGGGCTCCTCACCGCCTGGCCTTGGTTCAGATTTCCATCTGAAACATACTTGTCTGCAAATGAAATCTTGGACCTCAGTTTTCTACCACCTTTAGGGGCCTTGAAAGGTTTTTAAATATTTCTATGTATATTCTCAGATCAGCTCTGACTGTCTTGTTTGTGTATCTCCAGCCTGCAGGGCAATAAAGTAGACAGTGCCTTTTCTATCATCACTGGGTCACCCTGAAAAGTCCCCTGCTTCGTGTATAATAGTATGTGTGTAGCACCCTGGCTCTACAAAGCTTTAGCCCCAACAACCATTTCTTCTCAGCAAATGTTTCAGGGCACTTCTCCCTTAATTCCCTATCTCTATCACTTCTGTTACTTTAGACAACATTTCCTAGCTTCCTGGGCAGGTTTCTCTCTCTCTCTCTCTCTGATGGTATCTCAGGGCACATACAGTGACTCTGATCTGTAGCATTCACACAGCCAAGACCAGGAGCTTTCTCGCTGTGTCGCTTACAGACATTTCAGTTCGCTGTTCAACCTTCGGCAGCATCAGAACTCTGTGAATTCAGTGCAACGCCAACTTCTGAAGCTAGTTGAGGTTTTTAGCTCTGCTCTCCTGCTGCTGGCACATAGAGGGCATGTCTACATGTTACCCTATGTGATCACTAGCTATGTTGCCGTAGCTGCACGCTCCCTGCTTATACAGGGACGTAGCGGGGAAATTTAAGCATGCGCAGCCCCATAGAGCACAGTACAGGCAGTTTCTGCACCCTCTTTTGGTACTTCCAAAAGGAAGTACTAAAACATGGCACAGTAACAATATTGCTATATGTCAACATGTAAATGCACCCAGAGCACAATAATCATCAACCTCATCGTTGGCTTCAGCCGCACTGATAATTACCCTGGCTGCATTGGAAGAGCTGTCAGCGGCACCAGAGAACCAGCCTGGAATCTCCCAGGGCCTTTGTACACGCCACAACATCGGCCTTTAATGTGGCTTAAGTGCCCTTTTCAACTGTTTTAATGGCGTGGCTGTTTACACTGTCAGCAGCATATTGCATGTTAATGGTGCTGCTGTTTACAGTGTCGGCAGCATATTGCACTTTAAATGACTTTGGGAGGTAGCAAAATAAATCATGTCCAAGGTGCTTTAGTTAGCTAGCTTAGTAACCGCGGAGGGAAGCACCAGGCCCCGTGCAGCTCAGGGGCTGAGCAGGCAGGCTGTGCAGGCAGGCTCCACTGAAGCAAGAAAAAAAAGCATCAAGCCTGATCTTTTTTTTTTCCTCCCCAGAGATTGCCTGTCTGCCTGGGATGTGCGGGGGGCCTGTTGCTTCCCTCTGCAGCTACAGTGCCCCCTGGGACTGCTCGGGCCAGATGCCAACAGGCAGGTGCTGCCTGGACGGGGCCACCGCCGCGGCAGAGGGAAGCACCACCCCCTTCCGCTCCGGCCGCAGTTCAGGGACCACTCAGCCTGCCAGCGGCTCACCCTCATTTTCCCTCCCCACCCCCCGCCCCGCTGCCAGAGAAGAAGATAAGGATTGGGCCCCACCCTTGTGCACACGCCACAGGGTTTTATTTTGGTTTACATTTAAGCAGGTTTTTTAAAAAGCCACTGCTTCAATTTAAGGAGAATTAAACCAAAGTAAACCCCTGTGGCGTGTACAAGCACCCCAGGAGATTTTTGCTGTGATCAGATGTAAGCATCATGGGAGTGTGGCCAGGCTGCTGCTGCAACCAGGCGTTCCAGTTGCCACCGATGCAGCCACTTGGCCTTGCTACAGGAGCTCATAACCATTCCTCTCTGAGAGGCTGATACCTAGAGCATCTACTATGGGTGACTGGTGCCTGCTGAGTCTGGGGGCGCACCCACCGACGCCGCCAGCGGCATTGGTGGCATGGACGGAGCTGACGAGCACCTGCAGACACTGCTGGCATCATCAGCGGTGGGGACAGAGCTGGCAAGCAGCCACAGATGCCGGTGGCGGTGGTGATATCAGGGATGGCCCTGTCACGGGGGGTACATGCCCCTGTGGTGTCTACATCAGCACAAACTGAGCACTGGAACCTGGAAAATCAGCAGCAGCAAAACGAGGACTGAGAGTTTGGGAAGAATGTAGAAAAACTTCTGAGGAGCAGTTAGGAACGATTCCCAGTTATCAGGAAAATAATTGAGGAGAGCAAGAAAAAGAGGAGTGCAGGCCATGGTGGGGAATCCAGACCAGCTCATCTTCCTAAGATCTCTGCCTGGGACCTTCTGAGTCTCTCTCAAACCCCAGAGCTGTGAACATCTGCTTCATACAAATGTGGCCCCGACCTCTATGGAACACTTCTATATTTAAATATGTTCCCACTTGAACTACTCCAGTAGAGTTAAACCTCACGCTTCCCTCCCAAGCCATGGTTATGTCACATACAAGTGCTCATTACTGCGTGCACTGGTATCTGTTGGGAACCACTTCAGGGTACCTGTTGCACTTCAAAGTGGGTTTTTAAACCTAGTGCTTTAAGAATTGACACAACACTCAGTTGATTAGTAGTAGAAAGGCTTTCTTTAATAACTAGCAACAAGCTACAAGACTACGTGA